CTCGTGCAGCTCGTCGCCCAGCAGCTGCTCCCCCAGCTGCGGCGGCCGCACCCCCACCTGCCGCAGCTCGTCGCCCTGCAGCTGCTCCTCGTGCAGCTGCCCACCCGACTGCGGCGGCCGCAGCCCCACCTGCGGCAGCTCGTCGCCGTGCGGCTGCTCCTCGTGCGGCTGCACCCCCGGCTGCTGCGGCCGCACCCCCAGCTGGGGCAGCTCGTCGCCGTCCAGTCGCTCCTCGTGCAGCTGCTCCTCCGGTCGTGGTAGCCCCAGCGGCGGCAGCTCCTCGTCGCCGCCCTGCAGCTCCAGCACCCGGGCCGGCGAAGTGATAAGATAATACTAGATAGATAACTCAAGACTGCTTTCTCTTTCTCGGTCACTTATTTAAGTGCAGAGAAGATAATTATTGGTCAGAAGTTACTTCCCTGTAAATATTTGTGTCAAGTTTTATCCAATTGCCAAAATGTGTTGAATTTGTCTCCTCAAATTTAATTAATTTATTTTGTTTTAAGAATTAAGGTACCTGTATGTCCTTACAGCTGGAATTATTATTGATTGCACATGAATTTTTCATTAATTTTATCAAAAGTTTATTAAAAATGGAAACTCTGTTTATTGGTTGTTGTTCATTTAAGGTTGTATGTTCTTAAACCTCTTGTACAGTTTTGCGTTCTGTCACTAACACTTTTCAAAACTCCTCGCTAACTGCCAAAAATCAAAAAGAAAAAAGAAAAAGAAAAATGAAGTCACGCGCAACCTTGAAAACACCGTTTTACGCCCCTTCATTTTTTGGGGCGGGGTGAAAGTTGCCTCATTTTTTGCGACAAGAATAACGTTTTTGAGAAATATCTAAACTGCACTTGAAACATTTTGTCCTGTTGGGGCACTGGAGTGAGTGCTCCAGTGTCGGGGCTGGCTGGCTTGTTCGGACTGGACCCCCGACGCGTCGTCTCTCCAGGCGCGGGCCGGGGAGAGGAGAGGGAGGGGGAGGACCGTGTCGGGCGGGGGTTGTCCCGCCTAGACTCCGCGGCGCCACCACCGGGTGGGCGCGCTCTGGGCTGGGCGCCGCCAGTGTGTCAGCGGCCGCCGCAGCGAGCGGGGCTGTTCGGCGCGCGCCTGCTCCCCGTGCCCTCCCCTCAGCCGGCTCAGCCGCGCGTGCTTGCGCTCGCATATGGCCGCGGGGTAGTGCCATGCGGAGTGCGGCTCCGACATGAAGTGCGTGGCGTGGCTGGCCCTCCTGGCCGTGGCGCGCTACGGCGCCGGGGAGCGCGCCGAGGACGCCGGCGTGGAGGAGGTCCTCATCAGCCCTTACCAGGTCCTGGTGCGCGCGACGGCCTCGCCCGCGCCGGCGATCAGGCACCACCACCGGCACGGCGCCAGGGCGGGGCGCCGGGCCCGCCACCGCACCGGCCTCCACGGCCACCACGGCGCGCAGCACGGCCTCGGCCTGTGGGACTTGGAGCAGCTGCAGCAGGACGCGGGCGCCGGCGCCAGGGTGCTGACGACGCGCAGCGTCAAGCAGGAGGACGTGACGATGCACCCCATCGTGTCCGAGGCCAAGTCGGTGCTGATGGAGATCGAACACGCTCTGAGTAAAAGCGGGCGCCGCCTGCCGGGGCCGGGCGGCCTATCGGCCTCTACCGCGCGGCCCGAGTCGCTCATCGGCCCCTGGGACATGAGCCGCACCGTGCAGCAGCTGCGCCGCGCGCAGGGCCGGGACCTCAACAAGGTGGGGGTGGTGGCCACCTCGCCGGCCTCGGCTAACATCGAGGCGGCCAAGTTGTCGGGGCTGTGGGACGAGGACGCGGACGGGATCGTGCTGATTCGAGAGGACGATGATGTCACCCTCAGCCCCGAGGACAACGACGTGCCGGTGCTAGTGCTGGAGGAGGAGGACGGTGATGGGGGCGCACGCCTCGGCAAACACGACGATCACTTCACGCTGGACGGTGCGCCGGAGGCGACGCAGGGCTCTCAGGACGACTTCCAGGACACGGTGGACTCCGTCCAGGATACAACGCAGGAAGGTGTGATGGAAGTGGAGGACTTCGAGATGCCCAAGAAGGGCCACGTGGACATCGTGACCCGGTTCCTGCGCATCGTCGAATCGCAGCACCTGCTCGGCGAGAACTGCACCGCGGGCACCGATCTCAACCTTGGCGAGGGCGTGGTGGACCGCTACGCGCAGGTACGCCCCTTCAACTCTGTTCTTGCCTCCTCAGCGAACAACGTCCAACATATCGTGTGTCGTGGCCGCTGGTTGCTCCAGAAACTTTTGGCAGGATCGCCAAACGAGGTGTGGAAATAGAGGAACATCGCTCATTTCGGCCCAATACAACTCTCCCCTCGTGAGCGCTCGGCACAAATTCTGTACACTTCATGTGGACACGAAACTTCGAAACATAGAGAGACGGGGGAGAGGGGGGAGGGGGGGTTGGACAGAGAAGGAGACAGATTGTAAGGCCGGGAGGCTTGGTCTGGTAGCGAGAGAGCGAGCGAGAGGGCGAGCAAGAGAGCGTTGAGAGTGGGGTGCCCTGCCGGGGACGGCCGCGTGCTCCGCGCCTCCTGAGAAACTACAAGGATGGCACGAACGCGAGAGTTGCGAGCGACTGTTGAGATCGAGCCGGACTTGGCGTGTGCCGCCTCCGCGTCGCTGCCTTCCTCAACTCCGGCGGCGGCGGCGGCGACGAAAACAATAAATGATGCGAATATCACAGCGCGGTGTGAAAAGTTTGTCGCGCAGCGTGTGTTTCACACTGTGTCTCTCTCTCTCGTGTGCGCGCGAATGTGTGAGTGCGTGAGTGTGTTTGTGTGTGTGTGAGAGAGAAAGAGAGCAGGTGAGCCCGCGTGTGTATATGTTAGCCCACTTAGGATTATGGCCCGACACTTCCTGCTTGCAGACGAGTCCTTGTCGCGCCCGTGCTCTTGCGCTGGCTCCGCTCTGGCTGCGAGGCTGGGCTGGGCTGACTGGTGGGGCGTGGAGGAGTGGAGAGCAGCAGTGTGGGGGGCGCATCTCAATTCCAGGCACGCTGGCGTTTATCACTTGTCTTAAACCTCATGTCCCCGTGTCAGAGTGCCGGGATAAATGGTCTTACCCTCGCGCGCACCCCTACCCCCCTACCCTCTCGCTGACGCTCCCCCTCGTCTCCGTCGTCTCGGCTCGACCCCCCGTACGCTTTCGGCAGTCTATTGCCATTTTATTTTCCTATTTTCCCCACGATTTTTTGTTGGCTCAACGTGCTGATTACTGACGCCGCGGCGAAAGCCGTACATTTACAACTATGGCTGGTTAAAAAAAAGGCGGAGCATGAAAAGTGGATGGGGAGGGGTAGGGGGGCGTCACAAACCGACGGTAGCGTTCGGTAGCGTTTCTCGAGACGGCGCCTCCTCTCGGTTTGGTAATCTTCCACTTACCCAGCATCCAGCATGTCCAATAGACTGGGCGAGAGGTTCAACCGTCTCGCCATAATAAGGCTTTTATTTCAATCGCAATGAAAGGGATATGAAAGTCGTAGTTATTAAACTAAATAATACGCATTGCGAATTGCGACGGGAAATTTTCAATTTCATAAAAGAAACTAATCTTGTTTTTTTTTTTTTTTTTTTTAATGAAACATAGGGAAAATTATATTTCAAAACTTGACAGTTTTATTGATTAGGGGGGGGGGAGGGGCGCTAGCAAACTATGTTTATCAATGACTGTTAAATTTTTCCCCTCTGAATATGTTTTTAATTCCCCCATCCTTCGCTGCCTCCGTGCAGGCGGACACACGCTGGGCGGGGCGGGGGGACCTCCTGCGCTCCCGCCGCGGCCATTACCAACGCATTACATGTGCCACAGGCAGCCTGCCCACCCGTATGACTGTAAAAAAACAAAAATAAAATACAAACAACAAAGAGTTCCTTTTACGGGCGCCGCGCGCGCCGCGCTATAGCAGGCAGCAGCCCCGCAGAGCTGACCTGACCATACCCGCGCCCCGCCCCCCAAGGATAGTTGGCCCCCGCCAGCAGCGGCTCGCGCGCACTCGGTTCGCACCCTATTTTACCGACTTTCCGTGCGTCTGTCTCTCGGAATCGTTTTGCTCCCCATCCCCCCCTCTCTTCTCACTTTGTTTTGCAAATGAGGGGCGCCGGGCGCACCGGGGGGCCGCCACGCCCAAAGAAGGGAGCCGCCGCCGCTGGTTTTGGCCGTGCAACTTGCTGCTGCTGCTGCTGCTCTCCAGAAACATGATGAGTCCAGTTCGGCGCGGAGTGGCTCCGGGCTCCCCCCTTTCTCTCCCCGAGTCTCTCCCCCTAGAGGCCGCCCGGGGCGTAGGCCGCGCGCGCTCCTCGCTGTCGGGCGGGCGTGCCTAACCGCCCCGCCACAGGCGCTCTCCTGTCTGGCGCTGCCCGCTGCCGCGCTCGGCACTACTGGCTCGCCCACACCACACCACCGCCCGCCCATACTCGATCCTAATCGTACCCCAAAATTTGGCTTTAAAACCATCTTAGTTTTTTTATTTTGGTGGCTTGTTTTACCGAGATGAAATTATCGATGATGGTCGTGCCCTCTACGTGTGTGCGGTGCGGTGCGCCACATGCAGGTACGCGTCCGCGAGAACCAAAAAAAGCACTCTCTGCCGCGCCATCTCTTTGGAAGAAGAAAGTATATTTGTCAATTGTACACCACTCGTGAGAAGAGGAACGCGGGGGGCGCAAATAAATAGACGGGCCGCTTCCGCCGTCACCACCCGCGACTCCACTTCGATATACTCCTGCTGCTCCGCTGGACGGAAGAGGAAGAGGATTCCGAGGAGGGAGTAGAAGGGGCGGGGGG